AAAAATCTGAATTCCTCAATTAGAGGAAGCTGCCTTTGTTGTAAGCTGCTGAATCCTTGCAAGTAAAAGATATCGAAGAAAAAGAAGTCCACTATCTCTGTCATTCTTCTCAGCTGGCTGCAAGTCAGATGCAGTTTAATTTTTCTGACGTAAACAGTCAACGAATTTGCTGACACACTAAACTAAAACAAACACAAAGATCCAGATGTTAAAGATGTTGAAGGGTGGTTAGATGGATGACATATGTCATAGCATGTGATATGGCACATGTTCTGTCTTTGAGATGGGTTTATCGTCATACACAACAATATGTGGCAGACATGAGGGCAATGTTATTAGCAAAACACAAGGTGAACCATATTGCCTTTTTGTATAGAATAAAAAAAGAGTAAGGAACTTTATTTATTGTTGCTTGGCAACCACTAAATCACCTGCAGACATAAATTGGTGTCTCCAGCTATCGAAAGTAGTAAAGAGCTGGGGGTTAAGGTCAAAACAAACCGCTTTAACGTGTGATAGCTTCTAAACTCTGTGACATCAAGTCTTTTCAAATGTTTTCAGACTTGAATAGAGTTGCAGTTTACTCACTGTGGATGTTTTCTTCTTCTGGTGAATTTGCAGCAGGCTGTATACTGGAGAAGGTGATGCTTTTAGGCAGCCTCTCAGCTTTTCCAGACAAAAATTCAGTAAAAGAGTTTGATTATCAACTGTGATTGCACCACACTAAACATATATGTCAGGAGATTATTGACAAATCACTAAAGGTCCACATATAATACCAACCCTGTGCAAAAAGGTCAAGAGCATAAAAGTGGACATCACTGTTTAGTACATGTTCAGACGGGAAGTTTAAGAGCTCAAAACACAAGAGAGCTGTGGTTGTAAACTCATCGCTCTACACTCAAACTTCAGGGCTAATTTGAGAGGATGGATTGCAGCTGATATCACCACAAATATTGCATCATTTGTCACAGCTTTCTGCTCCCTGTCACAGGCCAGTTCACAGAGCATATTGCACAAATGATATTCAAGAGCACACAGACCCTTAAAATTTAGCTGCTCTGTGCAGTCTGTGCGTGTTTCACATCTGATTGCAGAGATGAGCCTCCACGATCTGGTGCCCAGAGCAGTGCCCTCTTAGTTATGGCACCCAATATGTGACAAGCTGGACAGGGGGAGGGGACACTTTTTACTCATTTATTATGGGGCCAAACTTTTCATCCAGACCCAGTCTGGGTCTTGGTTGCTGGCAGTGGGTCTGTCCTTAAATAACAATTGCACATGCATTTGTAGGCTGAGCTCAGATACCTACCTTTAAATCCGTTTTCCTCTGAGTGCCTATGAAAAATAACTTCACAACATAAAACCTGTTCCAAATTTTATGGAAACAGCTTCTTCAAAGTTATAATTTTGAGCTGTATTTATGTGCTTTAAATGACCATTTGAATATGACAGCTTATGAATACTGCAGAAAACTCTTGGCAGACACCCTGTAACTGCATGATGCTCTCATTTCACTGTACTTCTCTTGCATCTTGGCTGGATTGGACAGAAAGAGGTTAGATTTGTCACTGAAGATATGTGCATGATGACTGTTTCAAAGTAGCTTAAAGATGTCATTTCTGCTGCATGGTCTGAGGCACATTTAACCCTTTCCATAAGCTTTGAAAGTCACTCAGTTTCTTTTTGACTCGTTTGCAAAAGTGAAGGCGCCGCAAAGACACAAAAACCTGTGGAGAATCGAGCCCTCAGAATAAGTGATGAAATTCAACTTACAACTCGCTCTTGTTGTTCTTGTGATGCATGAGGATGTTTCACTCTATCCAAGCTGTGCTCCCTCTCCTCTGCACACTATCACACACAGGTTGAATTTCACTGAGCGTGTTGGCGTTTTTCATCTCCACTGCAGTTTGTTTCTTGGCACTGGTTATCCTATCCTAGAGTATGAGAAGCACCTCTAAACTGTCTGAGCGTGAGCCAGGCATTTGGACAGGAGCCTAAAGTGGCAGCACGCCGATTTCAGTCCCTCCGGGCCTCGCCTGCATTTGATATGCTGCATTAGAAACATCACATCTACTGTGCATTCAGAGGCCAGTCTTTGGGACCAAAAATGTCCTTCCTGCGTTCTGGCAAGGCCTTCCTCAGGGCTGCTAAACAAGGCTGCTTGTTAGTGGAGCTATTGCGTGCTCTCTGTTGAAGATGTAGGAAACAAAAACTCCCTTATTCCACAGGCGAGGCCTTTCAGCAGGTACATGTGCATGCAGCGGCTTCATTGTGCTCTAATTTATAAACTCCTTTATTTCTCTGTGGGAAAAGTTTACCATTCAAACTTGTACTGAGAGTGTCTACGCTGCACTCGCTCTTATCAAACTGAAGCCTTCCTTTAAAACCTCAGGGAACGCACCTAGTTAGTTAAGAACAACATGGAGATATACTGCTTCTGCTTTCAAGGCAGAGAAAAATATCTACTGTGCCCCAATTTAAGCTGCCATGAATAATGGATATATTTATCACAAAACCACAACTCTGGGGAGGAGTGTTGCACAATTTGTTATCCATAGTATACATCCCAATTATTTAATGTATGACGACTTAAAAGCTCCTCTTAGGGCACTTTTAAGAAACAAGTTAACAAGTTTTTTACTCACGTGTTAATGAGGCAGTTCCATTTTCTTATTTTGGACGGCATGTTAAACAGAAAACAGCCAGTATCCACAAACAAATTTTACAATATTTAATAACTAACCTCAATCCACACTTACGGGACTAAAACAGGCTGGTCTTGTGCACCTGGTTAGTGGAGACACACAAATAAACATAATAGAGGTGTGCATGTGTGGTTGAATGGTTCAATGTTGTCTAGTCAGTGACACAGTTATTATTCAGGCAAAAAACAGGTAAAATTCTTGTTATTGTAGGCCTCAAATTGTGTCTAATTTTTTTTGCCCAGACACCCACTACCAGTTGTACATGGACTGTTACTCTGGTTTATGGCTACCATCCTAACTTGAAATTAACAAGTACAAATGTTAGCTCATGAAGTTGTGTGGTTTGGCAGTATTTTGATCTATAAAATGGTCATAAACCTGTATATAAGCTGCACCCACTGACTCAGTGATAGTGTTATCAATGCTAAGAAGTGTTGGCTGTTTGATTTCCCTTGTACACTGACTGATTTGACAGAATTTTAATTTTAGTTTGAGTGTGTAGAAAGTTTGTCTCTGTGTGATATTCCAAAAAGCAAAGTGCCTTTCCAGTTTTATTAATGGCAAACCCTGGGGATGCATAGAATAAAGTTTCCTTCTCCAAATATAAACAAAATTGAATCGATTAAATGCTTAACTTAACATCACAACAGACAGCAAAGTCAGAAAATCTGTCTAAAGTTATTTATGATTACAGGGCAGTGTGCAAAGATAGCGATATTTAGATACATATATATATCAGTAGGATTGAAAATCGAAAACCGGTTATAGTTTAGAACCGGTTCCCAGTGACGCCTCCTCCTTTAGTTTTATTTTGTCTGGACTTCCTTTGTTTCCATGTTTGTCTGGTTTGCTTGACTTTCTTCCAGAGCTCCCTCCCCTCCCCCTGTCGCTGAGACTGAGTGAGACTACACACCTGCTCTACATCTGCAATCAAGGCACTTCAAGAAGCCAGCAGCCCTCAGTCTCAGCGCCTGAGTATTGTCTACCCTTTCAAGTGGTACAGACGCGTCTCCTGGCCTTCCTCGTTGTATAAGTACTTGTAACTCTGCTCCTTGTGCTCCTTTGCATGTCTACTCACTCCTCTCTCCTCTGTTTCTTTCTGCAGTGTCTCCAGCCCACACGACAGCCAGCCAACCAGCCTACCGGACTTCCTTTTTTTGCCTTTAAAAACCCGAGTTTGGACATTAAAATTACACCTTAAGTTGATCTCTGTCTCTGTGTCTGCTTCTGGGTCCTCACAACTCACCAGTCTAGCCACAGATTTGATCCCTAAGAAGTCTGCCTCCTTAACAATTCTGCTTATCAGTTCCTCTTACATTTCTATGCGTGATGACGCAGTACACAAGATGTGTGTTTTGATTCAGAACATGCAGCGTGGCGTCGAGGCAAAAGCACTCCAGAGTTTGGCTATATTTCACCCGAAAAGAAAATACCAGGACTACTTGCAATACTTACAAAGCTTTAATTTCATCAAAGGGGGGTATATATTTCCAATATGCAGACACATTTGTCCACTCAGTAAGCGGTTAATTTGCAGAAGTGTAACGTGTTTGATATTCTACTTAGCAAAGGAGAGACTGGTGCTGCGTCCGAATTGCCAAGTAGTAGTCGAAGTAGTATCTAGCATGTCCGAATTGGCCACCGGAGCGAGTAGCATGCTACTTCAGATACTACTTCAGATACTAGACACGCCCACATTGTAGGTTGGTCTCGGTTCATCCTAGGGGCATGCTACTGACCCAAAATGCACCGTGGGCTTCTTCTTCGTCCTCTTAAAAGTTGTAGAAGCGCATGTGATGCTAGCGCCACCAGCTGCTCTGCCTATTTAAATGTGTTGCGAACGCCGGCTGGCCACAGCAGGGCGCACCATGTCGGAGCAGGAGCAGCAGCAGCAGCAGCAGCAGGCTGGACCGCAGCAGTACAGATGTAAGTCTCATGTAACTTCACACACTGTCCTAAAGAAATGTGCGGTTGTATCTCTTTGTCATGTCATGGTGTCATATTTGCCCAAGTAATCATTTTATGAGCAAATATGTGGAAACATCATGGAGGTAAAGCTCACTTATTCCATCATTAAACTGCACAGCTGCAGTAATCAGGCAGATCTCATTGAACAAACGATCACCACGTGAGTGAATGAAGGCTAAAAGTAATGGAAAAGCTACTTTGTGAATTTCTTAAGCAGTGCAGGAATAAAGTAAAGCAGCATCCATCACTTGCACAATTACCATTCAAAGAGTCTAAAACTGTAACATGACTTGAAGGGGACAGAGAGCAGACCCAAACATTCATCAGCTTTCTGTTTTCTACCATTTTTAGCCAAGGTTTGTTTATTCCAGTAGCATGTGTATTTCTTAGGGACGGACGACCAGACTGAACATTTAATCAGGTGGCGGCTCAGCCATGACCACCTGTTCACCGGGCGCAGAAATACGGCCAGGAAGGCATTTGAGTAAGTCAAGCCATTCATATGTTTCATGATTCTTCATACAATATGTGTGTCTAATTGTTACCTCACAATACACTGTGTTTGGCCTTCAGGAGGTTCTTGCAGGACAGCCCCAGCCTCCTGCCGCACATCACGGCTGAGAGTGCCAAAAAAAAATGGGACAACCTGAAAGACAAATATCGAGCATGTTGGGCCAACATCTGTCATCAACAGTCAATCCTCCTGTTAATCATGAAGGTTAATCTTGATACTCTCATGTCCTACAGAGACTAAAGGCTCCCAAGACAGGCGTCAGCACCGAGGGTGGTGAGGATACAGCAGCGTCCTGGCCATGGTTCGAGCTGATGGATGAGGCTTTAGTGGAGCGGCCCAACATCACGCCACCATGCCTCATCGCATCAGCTGGCCAGGATGCTGCTGTATCCTCACCACCCTCAGCCACGGTGACGCCTGCAGAAACGCCCTGCAGCTCCCCATCAACCTCCAGCTCCACCACACGGCCCTCCAGCTCCAACACACGGCCCTCCACGCCCACAGAGGCTTCCACCTCCACCGCTGCTCCACGCTCCACCTCACCACCCGCCAACCCTCGGAGCCAGGGCAGCTCTCCACCAAGAGGGGGAGGAGGAGGAGGAGGCCAGCGTTAGAGGACATGTGGCAGGAGGTGGAGGCCAGATTGGAGGAGCAGGAGAGGGAGGCTGAAGCCAGGGAGGAGAGGAGGTGGAGGGAGTGGATGGACAGAGAGGAGAGAAGAGACAGGGAAAGGGAGGAAAGGGAAGAAAGAAGAGAGAGGGAAAGGGAGCAAAGGGAAGAAAGAAGAGAGAGGGAAAGACGGGAGAGGGAGGACAGAAGGGACAGGGAGGCTCGGGAGAGGGAGGAGCACTTTTTAAACATTTTGGACCTGCTGGCCAGGAGGCAGTAGGAGTTTTGTGTTAGAGGATTTCAGTTTGTGTATGTTTAATGTAGGCGATTGCTTTATGTTTGAGTAGGGGGCCGAACATTTTAAATGTTACGTTTTTTTGTTCTTAAATGCCTCTGTTTCTGTTATGGCACTATGAGTTTTCCTGAAGATGATTCGCCTCTCATCCAAGAAGCTTGATTTGATTTTATTCAGCACATTTGTTAAAAGGACAATACAATTGTAACAATAGAGTAAAACATAGAAAATAAAGTGCCAGGGAGAGGCAAAGAAGCCCACAGGGCTTATGTGAGGCCTCTACCTATGTAGAACATACAATTTTAAGAGCATACATTAATAGTAGGAAAATGTTAAAAATATATAGTTGGCTTGTAAAAATAGATTCTGGTAACACAGAAATACCTTAAAAGACATAGAAAAAATTAGTGGTTAATCGGTAACCTTGTGTTGCAGCTTTTATGAAAGGTGCTATATCAATAAAGTTTGATTTGATTTGATAAATCCTTCAACCTGTTATAGTATTCATTCAAGGATGACAGTTTTAAACCCTTTGACTGTTTATCATAGAGAGTAGTACCTCTGTATTTTAGGGAAAACTGACCTTGACTAGTGTGGTAAAGAGGAATGTTGATGTAGGTGTTTAGAAACATGGACGACTATATGTACTTGAGCGGTCTCCTACCAATCTTTGTTACGCTTCTGTCATGCTTCTGTTACACTTTGCGACACTTGTGGCATGATGAAGCTGTAACCCAGATCTGTAACCAGTAAAGCTTGTCAAAATGATGATTCGTGTGGACCTTCCATTTTTTAATTTGTGAACATGGGCTAGGCATCCTTACACTGAAGGATATAAATGCTGTTTAGATATGAGTTATACGTACTGGCCCAGACAGTATTGCAATAAGTTAGGTGAGGATAGATGAGACTGAAATATAAGGTAAGCAGACATTCTTGGTTAAGTAACCCACTTATTTTTCTGATGACACCAAATGATTTTGCCACTTTGTTACAAACAAGGTTTGACCTCAGGAGAGTAGTTAACCTCTGTGAGTCATAATAACTAAAGAAAGGAGTTTGAAGCCTACTGGCTCCGAGCCCTGGGAGGGTCGTCAACATTTGTTGGTGTGTTGTTAGTGACTCAGGTGAGTCAACAATCAGTGAAACTAGTCAGGGTGATATATGCTGTTAGGAAACGTGCCACACACAGCATCATTCCACAGCAAAACTTCTCTGGAATAAAATGGTTTGGTCCAAGCAATGTGATGTGTCAATTGTATCCCTGTGTTATAAAGGTTGGTGGAGGTGATTAGCAGATCTGACCTAAGCAGATGGACTTCTATCAGTGTATTTCATGTTTCGGGTCATCAAGAACCACACCAGGGTCAGGAGCATTTTTCCCCAAAAAATATTTAATCATACAAAACAGAAATGAATCATACAGAACTGAAACACAACATAAGTAATTGCCCTATTTGAGGCCGCACATTTAAAGGAAAAAAATATACCAAAAGACGGTGTCAACAGCATCGTGCCCAGCATTCTGCAGTTTTTGGATGACATAGTTAACCTGCACTCCAACCTTCGCCTCTAACATCACTCTTTTGCTGCTCTCACTGCTGCCATTGACAACAAAGTGGACCCGAGACTGGCCAAAGGACAGAGAGGTAGCAGCAACAACAAAAACAAAACAACAATTAACAATAATCATGGTCCTGGAGGACAGCAGCCGCAACCTCTGGGGCAGACACTGCTGCAGCCAGTCGGTCCCGCAGGTTTTCCCCTGACGCCGCATCAGAACAGGGAGGCGGTCCATCTTCCTCAGGGGGAGGCTCGGCCTCGAAGAGGTCACCGTTGTCCATGCAGATGTTGTGGAGGATGGCACAACAGGTGACCACCTCCGATGCAAAGGCTGGCTTCACCTCAAGGGCCCTGAGGAAGATGGACCGCCAACGAGCCTTCATCATTCCGAAGGCCCGCTCGATAATATTCCTTGCCTTTCCGTGAATGGTGTTGAACCGGGCCTGCACAGGGTTGGCCACAGGTTCCCGGTAAGGCGTCAGGAGGCAGATGGGGGCACCCAAACAGGGGTAGCCTCCATCCCCCAGGATGCACCAGCCCTCCGGTGGGTATAGCTGCCTGTAGTAGACCGGGCTGTTCCGCAGTACACGGGCATCGTGAACGGAGCCAGGGAAGCCCACAAACAAATCAAGAAACCTCCCCTGGTGGTCACAGATGGCCTGTAGCTGGATTGAATGAAACAGCTTACGGTTGAGGAAGTCCAGCTGATGTGCTGCAAGTGGTTTGATGCGGACGTGGCAGCCATCAATTGCCCCGACCACGGTCCGCAGAGCTGGACTTCCCCCGAGGCGGCTGAAGCCAGCAGCGATGTCCTCCAGCTGGTCAGGGTTGGGGAGGCGGATGGTGCTGCCCAGGATGCCCATGACAGCCTTGGTCACCCTGTGCACAATATCATGAACAGTGGACTTAGGGATGTCGCAGGCTGCAGCCACCACCCTGTAGGACGCTGCATGGGCCAACCAAAAAACGAACAGCAGCACCTCTATGTCCTTTGGCCAGCCTCGGGTCACGTTGAGGTCGATGGCAGCTGTAAGGGCAGTAAGCGAGCAACAAGAGAGGCGAAGGTTGGGGCGCAGGTCAACGGTGTCATCCAAAAACTGACGAATGATGGGCACGGTGCTGTTGAGCAGAGTGTATGGCCCGCGTGGGCCATGCTGAAAAATCAAAGAAACCACATAATGTCATGTGTAGAACAGAGTTCCTTTTGCGGTGTCTGGACAAACACCAGAAAAGACTAGTAACAAGAAATACATGTCAGAGCTTCTAGTTCAAGCACTTCATGTCATAGCTTACCTGTGGGAGTGACTCCAGGAATCTTCACACAGAAAGTGCAAGGCGGCGGCGAGCCAGGGCTCTCCGCCGCCTTGCACTTTCTATGTGGAGCAGCATCAGTGCGTTTGCAGGCATGCTGGCTTTTCTCTGAAGATGTGCCACCTCCGTGATGGCACCACTATATATCCACTCATTGTTAATGAGTAACAGGTGCCTTCTGGTGATGATGTCTAATAAGTCACCGGTGCGCACCGATCATTTTACAGTACTCGCTGCAGTACTACAGCCAGGCCAGCAGCCAGGCTTCCGTTACCACTGTCTGCATGGGCGCAGTACCTACTCTCTGCCTGCGGGGGTCGTCTTTCCCCACCGCTCGTCTAGTGTGTCCGAATTGGGCCAACGTGTTTAGTATGTAGGAGTAGGATCTAGCAGTAGTACGTAGCAGTAGCATGTAGTATCCGAGCGGGCAATTCGGACACAGCATGGTACAGGCAAAATCAGGAGCACAGCTAATGTCTTGGCATCATCTGCTTTAAATGCTGAAGGTAACGTTTAACTCTTTCAGGTCCTGTCTGTTGTGTGGATGTTCGAGCCATGTTAACCCCCTTTCACTATATAAAAACTCTCCATCTCCTGAAATTACATCTAAATGACAATCACTGCTAGAGTCATGCTAGCTCAGAAGCTGCCTCTCACACTGGCTCAGGGGCTTTAGCGGGTAGCTCTCACACACCTCTGGCAGCCCCTTTTATTAAGGCAGGGAAGAGTAAAATGACATTATCAGTGCATGGATATGCCATATCTTCTGTCCAAATGTGACAATATTAAAGAGTGAATGCAAACCAACCCATTTGTATTATCTCATGTCGCACTTAATGAATATCGATAAGGAATTATATCGATAAGCAGTATTGGTTATGGAATCTGAATCGCTAAGTTCTTAACAATTCCCAGCCCTATATATCAGTCAGCTTTTAGAATAAAATTATCTTTCGTTCACCCTCTTTAATAAAGCTTTGGTGGCCCTTGAGGAAAAGACGCTCCTTACTTCAACCACACCCTTAGTATGCTACTGAGTGTCACTTAATACTACGCACTGCACCTTTAAGAGCTGCAAACAAAAGCTGATGACAACTGTCTCCATGTGAGGAATTGCCAATTAGATCACAAACAACTTGAGCAAGTGAACCTTTGTAGATTTGGAGTGATCCATGGATCCCTTTGGCTATGATCTTGACCAGGATTGTGGGTAAACTTTTTACTGCAGACTGTCAGACTTTCACCTGTTTTTACCTCTAATTTCGAGGTTGACTTCCATTTATCTAAAAAAGAATGAATAGACTTTCACCTGGTTTTCACTCAAATATCAAGGGTGACTCCCATTTATTTAGAAAAGAATTCATGAATTGACAGTTAAGGTACTCACTTTGTGGTTTGAAGGGCTGACAGAAAAAAAAAAAAACTATGAATTGATATGAGAAACCTTCACTCTGTTCAAGGGAACAAACATAAATCAAAATTCAAATATACAGACATTACAGATACACATACAGATAACCTTGTGGATGTTGCAAAATTGAACATTTATATTCAGCACTCATGACACAATTTCAATGCAATCATGCATCTTTCTGGTTTAGTGACTTACATAACATAATATTTAATATTTTGTCCTTGGTTCTGCAGATTTAAAGAGTGTGAAGCATTAAAAATATTCCCTCTAAAGTACCAATAAAGGCACAAAGAGACCACTTATTATTTAGTTAGTGGGTAAAATGTGTTTCAGCTGAAGAATGTTTGTTTTATACAGAAGGAGTCTCCCGAAAAAAAAGAAAAAACAGTTTTCCTCCTCTCTGTTCTTGGCAGGTTGCAATGACAAGCTCCACCACATACTGGTACATCTGGGGGAATATTTTGCATAACAACAGCAAATTGTTTTGAACATCATATTGTTTTTCCTTTTTTTTCCAAAATGCAGCTTTTATTTCTGTGAAGTTGTGATGAACTAATCACCCTCCCTGGAGCTCTGATTTCAATTATCAACCACCTCTGGAATAATGAGTCCCACACACACCCCACATTTGTGTTACTAATGGATTTGTACTGGAGTGTTCCAGCTCGAGAAGACGTCAAAATGTACTCTGCATGGAGGGTTCATTTCTGTGAGGGTCTGAGAAGTGTTTCCCACATTTATAAAACTACCATTCTATAACCTTTCCTGTACCGTTCATAACAAACCAAGGCATGTCATTGACAGAGCGGGAGTGACATCGCAGCTTTGGATTTTTTTTTTTCTTTTTTCATAAGCTGGAAGACACTGGGTAAAACTTTCAAAAGTGTGTTACAAAGATGCTTTGGGGAAAAAGTTTGACGGTTTCAAACAGTCTGTAATCTGTGAGATAAAGCAGCAAAGCCCCTGAAGCGAACATGGATGAGTCCTCCAGATGGGAAAGTAAGAGGAGGCCAGAGGACAATGCTTGAAGTGACGGGAAAAATGAATTCAGTCCATTTCACAAGGTACTGTTTATTGGCAATTATAGTCAAGTACTGCAGACAGTCAGCGCGTGGAAGTGAGAGTGACACTGCTTCACTCCAACTAAGACAAGGATAAACACAGCAGAGGTGAATATAAGGGCTGTTCAATCACAACCACTATCCTACTTTTTCAGACGTACACTCATTGTAGCCTCAAAGCATATTTTTGCACAATTTGTTTTCTCTCCTTTTGTTTTCCAGTCAGTGCACCTACGCAGTGATATTTGAAGTTCGTACCGGGAATACTCCAGACTGTGAACAGTGAGCTCTGTCTCAACCCCAGAGTCAATCCATAAAGCATTTCAGATCCTGTGCAAATGTGCCACGAGAGGCCCTGATTACTGACATGCATGTGAAAAAAGGAAAGTTCACGTGCCTGTACTATTAGCAACAATTCAGATAGAAAAAAAAAAACTTAACACTTAAACTGTGAGTTTCTATGACTGTCCCAGCTTGGTATTTGCATTTGTAGTCACATAAAAGAGTCATAAAAACTCTTCAGACGTCTTTTGCCAACCTGTTGGGATGTCTGCAAAAGCAAGCATCTACTTCTGACGAAGTCTAAATATCATAACTCAAATGAACTAAAACAGAGTATAAGTCAATATTCTTCCTTTGCCAGCAGCAGTAAGTTCTGTTTAATTGAGCAGAGCTGTATCTTTTTAAATAACATCACAGTAAATTTAGTAATTCAGATCAGTGCAGAAAGTTTAAAATGAGTCAGAGCTTCGGTGTACTTTCTGTAGACATGTTTTCAAGACCTTTAACTTCATGACGTACTCAAGAATGTTTGCACCCATAATGACAGCCTGTATTTTCTGCACCAGGTTTGTTTATCTCCACCACTTCATAGGAACATCTCTGCCTGTAAATGCAGTACATTCACTTTATTATACATGATAAGAAAATGATGGCATCTCACAGCAAGCAGAGGTATGTCATCTCACAGGAGCTTTGTGGAGTTTGTTTGTTTCTTGTACAAAGGGGAACCACTCAGAACTCAGGGACCCAGGGAAAGATACAACTTTAGTGCGACAGCAGTGTTTTAACAAAGTTTGGACAGGGACAACAGCACACTGACAAAGTGCCACATAAAAAGCAGAGGAACATCAATAGTCAACATCACTAATTAGGGTCATTTTCAACAGGACTGGGAATAAAAAAGGGCATTCAAAAGAGGCTGGGTCTCTCAAAACTAATGATGGGAGGAGATGACACCATTGTGAGAGACTGCATGTGCAAAAAGTCCTAGAATAAAGTTCCTCTGCATAAAATTAAAAAGGAATTCATTATCTGATGTTCGTGAGATCATAAAAAGACTCAGAGAACCTGGAGATAAACAACACTGGATGTCTGAGATCTTCAGGTCTTGAAGCAGTATTGCATTTAAGTCCTGACTCTGTAGTAGAAATCACTGCATGCATCAAGAAGCTACTATTAGAGAGCACAGTTCATTTCTACATCCACACAAGCAGGTTACAAATGTATCATACAATAGCAATTAATGTAAAGCAGAAATGCTGGTGACTTCTCTGGGACTGTAGCCAAGAGGAAAACTGTCCCATTATCAGTCTTTTGGAAATCTTGGTTGCTGCGACCTCTGCTCTAAAAAGCCCTAAATAACACCAATAATTACAGTGTTGTCGGAAACCTGTTGCTGGCATCATCATTGATATGAGTGTATATATAATTATTTTTTTTCAGATTCAACTTTTTATATCTTGTTTTTGAAATACTCTTAATTAAATCTAGGCTTTACATTATTTCTAAGCCATTATATTTCGTGTTTATTGACATTTTTCACAATGCCCCAACCAAGGTTATAATAGTTAACTAAAACGAAACTAAAAACAAAAACTACAATTTAAAATACATTGCAGTTAACTCAAACTAATAAAAACTAGAAAAGAAAACAAAAACGATTAGTAAACTAAAACTGTATCTTGTGTTCACAAAACTAACTAAAATTATGGACAAAATGTCCTTCTTTATCGTTTTTGACAATATTTATTAGCCTTTAGGATTTAAATTAATCTGACACGTTTTCCTAAGCAATTTCACAACAGTTTTCGGCAGCTGTCAGCGCGGTATGGCACCATCATAGCGACGTACTGGGACGTGCTTGTTTACTGCACTGACTGGCTGTGCGCTGTGCTGCGATGGTGCCTGTGTTGTTGGAACAACTTGGAAGAAATGGCTAAAGTTGGGAGGAGGCAGAAGTGTCCCATTTGGAATTTTTTTGAGTACGACTGTGAGACAAACAAATACAAGTACCTGGCGGAAATTAAAACTGGTGAGATATGTGGAGCGCTTCTTAAGGGGAAAAATCCCACAAACTTAAAGCCCATTTGAGGAGCGCCCATAAGGAGGTTTATATAGCCGATGAAAACAAGGAAGCCGAGAGTTCAGTCACTCAAGATGCTGCTGGTTTATCACGGCCAAATAGCATCACAGCGAGGAACAAAACTATCGCAGAATGTTTTAATAGCTCAAATAGCTGCTGGCTTGTGAACTCTCATGAACACAAAAAGCGCGAGGACATTTTAGTCAACATGTTAAACGAGACCGGGATATCGACACAGCTCTGTGACAAGCCATAT